CAGAGAGCACGGAGACGGCTCACACCCCCCCCCCCCTCCATGCCCCCTCCTCACCCTCCAGCTCTTCCCAGCAGGCAGTGACTCACTGCTGGGGAGCTGACCCAAGGTGCCCCTCACAGGCAACGGAGCTGCTCCCTGGGGTCCTACAATGACGAGCACGAGGACCTGACACCTGCCCAGCTCACGCGAAGGATTCAGAGCCTTAAAAAGAAGATCCGGAAGTTTGAGGACAGATTCGAAGAAGAGAGGAAGTACAGAGTAAGTGCCTCCTCTCTCTGATGTGACATGCCAACGTGTCAGCAGTGCAGGGAAGTGGTAAAGGTTAAGCGAGACATCTATGGAGTCTCAAAGCAAAAAGGCAACAGAGACTAGCTAGTGAGCTCTCAGACACCTCAAACTTCATGTATCAGTATTTTCGTCACACAAATGTATTCTTATAAACTGGAGGCCCGATGCACGAAAATTTGTGCACGAAGGGGGTCTCTCAGCCCAGCCTGCGCCCTCTCACAGTCCAGGACCCCTAGAGAGACGTCCACCTGCCAGTGTAGGCCTGCTCCCCAGGGGAACAGGCCTAAGTTGGCAGTCAGCCATCCCTATCGCTGCCGCTGAGGTGGGAGAGGCTCCCACCACGGCCTCTGTGCTCACAGCTGTTAGCACAGCTTCTGGCTGAGCAGCAGCGCTCCCCTGTGGGAGCACACTGACCACCAGGGGGCAGCTCCTGCGTTGAGCATCTGTCCCCTGGTGATCAGTTGGAGTCATAGGGACCAGTCGTTCTGGTCATCCTGCCATTAGGGTCAATTTGCGTATTACTTTTTTACTGTATAGGATAACTTGAACCCTTCAGTTTACGTTCTGTAAACTTACCAGTGAGCCAGAATGGGAAAAATCATTAAATGGTGTCTTTTGTTTGGCTACAACTTAATTCAAGATTACCTTCTAAAATTTCATTAGTACTTTCCTCATTCTACTCTAAGCTCTTGTTATTTCCCCCAAGAAGATCAAAAAGGCATTTTTCAAAGTGGTTGCAGGGTAAAATATCATACACTCCTTTGCTTTCTTTCTGTTAGCCTATAAGTGATGGAAACAGAGCCATCCATGGGCCTTATACAAGTCTGTGACCATAAATATTCAGCATTTGACCTCTGAGGAATTCTTTAAAAGCATCAAAAATAACCAATTGTAAAGAAGGATGCTGGAATTAAGCTTGTGAAGTTTGCCCTGCTTGGTCCTGGTTAATTTCTTATTCCAATGAGACTCATGTTTCCTTCCTGCTTAAAACAAACTGATCATCAAACACTTCTTTTTCCTGCTCCAATTCCAAGACCTTCACCATAGTTTTCCTTTTCTCAGCCATCCCACAGCGACAAAGCAGCAAATCCTGAGGTTCTGAAGTGGACAAACGACCTTGCCAAATTCCGGAAACAACTAAAAGGTAGGTAAAGCTCTAGACCTATGGCATGATTTCTATAAAGCAAGCCAGGTACAGAACCTCATGCCTACTGCCACTGCTAAATATGCCAGAAAGAGACCTAACTTGTTTGGCTCAGTGGCTAGAGCATCGGCCTGCGGACTGAAGGGTTCCAGGTTCGATTGTTGTCAAGGGCCCGGATTGCAGGCTTGATCCCCAGTAGGCGGCTGCTGATCAACGATTCTCTCTCATTATTGATGTTTCTATCTCTCTCCCCCTCTCTCTTCCTCTCTGAAATCAATTAAAAAAAAAATTTTTTTTAATAAAATATGCCAGAAAGACTAGTTCCTTAGGCTGCTTCCCAGTGCTCTCAGAAATCAGGAGACACCGCCCTAGCTAGTTTGGCTTAGTGGATAGAGCGTTGGCCTGCGGACTGAAGGGTCACAGGTTTGATTCTGGTCAAGGGCATATACCTTGGTTGTGGGCACATCCCCAGTGGGGGGTGTGCAGGACACAGCTGATCAGTGTTTCTAACTCTATCCCTCTCCCTTCCTCTCTATAAAAAATGAATAATATATATATATATATATATATATATATATATATATATATATATATTTATTTATTTTTTTTTTTTTTAAGAAAGAAATTAGGAGACACCTTCTCCATGTCTTCCCATGGTCTTAATCACAGGGTATCCCAGATTTGCTAAGATGCAAATTCTGTAGCATTTCTTCATTTTCCCAAATCGCTAATAAAACGATGGTTTCAATTCAATACTCATTAAGTATCTGTTTAATCCAAGGCTTTATTTGCTGTGGTATTAGAAGACGTAGACACAGAAATGAGTATGAAAAGGATGGCCTCTGTCCCTTAAGGAATTTGGTGTCTTTAGGAGACAGACATATAACAACTAAATACAATACAAAATAAAAAAATAATTCCAGAATGAGGGACATGAGTCACACACAAAAAGTTGGCCAGCGGTTGGGCACTGGATCCGGAAGCACCTTTAAGCACTAAGGCAGCAGTGTAGGAGAGCACCTGCCCCATTCCGAGAACAGCAGCAGGTTGGTGCAGCTAAAGCACAGATATTCGATAGAAGACCTAGCGCTTCCTCAGGAATGAAGGTTAGGGAAGCTTTCCAGATCGCCCAGTAAGACATCATCCTTTTCTCGGGTTGTATATAATAACCTTGGGGTTTCAACTAAAGTTATAATTATATACTTTCTGGCCGGGGTGTGTGGGGGGAGAGGAGAGAGAGAGAGAGAGACGGGGCTAAGTAGTTATTAACATCACAGACATCAAATCTCATATGTCTCCACGCCCAATTTTTTTTCAACCAGAGTCAAAACTGAAGATATCTGAAGAGGACCTAACCCCCAGGCTGCGGCAGCGAAGCAACACACTCCCCAGGAGTTTCGGTTCCCAACTGGAGAGAGAAGATGAGAAGAAGCAAGAGGTGATAGAGAAAGCCATCAAGCCCAACGTGGAAGCCACGCTGGACTCCATCCAGCGGAAGCTGCAGGAGAAGCGGGCGGAGAGCAGCCGTCCTGAGGACATTAAGGTGCAGTGATTCGGGGAAGGCCCCGAGCTGACTGCTCACCCTAAGCAGTTAGGGGGCGACCAGGCCTTCGGGGCGGCCATCGGGGGGCAATCAGGCCAGCAAGCTGTTCCAGTCAGCATGGTAGAGGCATAGGACAGGCCACACAGAGCCCAGGGGAAGAGTGGTGGAGGGACACCTTTTGAAACCTCCCACCCCCTCGTCTTCCACACTCTTAGATGTTTAGAGAAGCTGATGACACAACTGCGAGTGCTTTAACTGTAGCTGATTTGGTTTTTGACTTCAAATTAGAAGCAGAAAGCTCCACTGTACAAGTGGTGGAATGAGCTTATTTAGGTTCCTACACCATTTGGTGACCCTGAGGTAGAAGAACTTCAGAAGCATCTGAGGCATCATCACCCCTTTGGGCGTGTGTCGTCTGTCACTGTAGACATCGCCTGGGCCATTCCGTGAAGCCTCGTGTGCCTCACCGCCTTGCTTGGTTCAGGACTCAACATGCCTCTGCTGCCACAAGGAAGTTGATGGCGTTTCTGTTGTGTTATCTTACTTCTATCAAGAGATCAGGAATAGCTAATTCCTAAGTGAGCTTGGATAGAGCAAGGAGGAGCTGTTGTATGAGGATTCTTTTTTCTCCTCCTTTTTTAATTGTTTTATTGTTGAACTGAAGAAGAAGAAGAAGAAGAAGAAGTTGGAATGCTCACACACGTTTCCCCTGCTCATTGACCTCTCCTTGTGTTTGAACAGGACATGACCAAAGACCAGATTGCCAATGAGAAAGTGGCCCTGCAGAAAGCTCTGCTGCATTATGAAAGCATTCACGGCCGGCCGGTATGTGTGTGCACAGACTTCTCTTTCTGGCCGGGCTAGATCCTCTGGCTTTAGACACGGATCTTCTGTGCTTGGTCTTTTGCAAATGAGGTTCCCTGCCGTTGAGGTTCCCTCTGTTTTCACCGGAACCAAACTTTCCGAAGGCTAAACCTGTGATAAGAGTTTCACTGCCTTGTAGATGCTGAATTTAATTGCGTTCCGAAGAAAAATTAGTTTGCAACTCAAACGTAGTCCATGGCGTCCTGCTTCAAGAGGAGAAGGTGGGGAGGTGAGGGGAGGTATGAACTGGTGCACAGAGCCCTGGGGTGAGGAAGCTTCACTGTCCCGGGTCTGCCTCCAGGAGCTGGTACTGGCTCCGGGCATTCTTATCCATAAATCAGTGGGCTAAACTGGAATCATCTGCCCTCAAAGTTGATCTCTCAGCAAAGCAGTTGCAACCAGGGTTTGTCCATGGAGAAGTTGCAGCTGCCACCCAGGACCAAAAAGTGTGAGGCATCCAAAGCACGGCTCTGCCTTTTCGTAACAAGGAGCATGTGGGGCCTTGTGTTCTTCAGCGCGAGTTCACGTTAGTCGGAAGACAGGAGTGTGCTAGGCTTCTCTCTTCCTTAGGGAACCTGTGGTCAGGTGTCCATGTCAGTTACTCTTAGTAACCTGTTCAGTATGTCATCAAGAACCCAGTAAAATCAACTCTTATTTGAAAAAGCATCTATACTAATAAAAGAGTAATATGCTAATTAGACCAAGTCGACCAGACATCTTCCAGAAGTCCGACTTCCTTCTGGATAATTAGGGGGTGACCAGCCAACAGGAGAGTACTTAGGGAGGGGACCAGGCTGGCAGGGGGAAGTTAGGGTCAACCAGGCCAGCAGGGGAACATTTATGGGGGGAGGGGTTGTCAGGCTAGCAGGGAAGCAGTTAGGGGGTAACCAGGCCAACAGGGGGGCAATTAGTGGTGACCAGGCCCACAGGGGGGTGGGGCAGTTAGGGACAACCAGGCTGGTAGGATGCTAGTTAGGGGGCGACCAGTCCCTCAGGGGGGCAGTTGGGGAGCAATCAGGCCAGCAAGCAGAGGCAATTAGTGGTGATCAGGTAGCCAAATAGAGTGGTTAAGAGCAATCAGGCAGGCCGGCAGAAGGCGGGGAGGGGCACTTAGGGGGTGACCAGGCAGGGAAGGGGGCAATTAGGGGGCAATCAGGCTGGCAGGGGGGCAGTTAGAAGTGACCAGGCCGGCAAGAAGAGGCAGGGGTGATCAAGCTGGCAGGTAGAGTGGTTAGGGGCGATCAGGCAGGTGAGTGGTTAGTAGGTTGCAGTCCCGGATTGAGAGAGTGATGTCCAATTGGCAGTTTAAACTGCAATCAGACATCCCTCGGAGGGCTCCAGGATTGGAGAGGGTGCAGGCTCAGCTGAGGGACCCTCCCCTGCACAAATTTCATGCACCGGGTCTCTAGTGAATTTTATGTTCACAGAAGGCTTTTTATATAGCCAAAAAGCATGCATCTCTTTCCCAGTTTCAGCATAGCTATATAATGGAGTCAGTCTTTTCACCTGAGATAAGTTCTTTTAAGAAAAGAAGCTTCTAGAATAATGCAGTAGAGGTCCGTGAGGGCCAGGACTCAGGGTTTTGTGAAGCCAATCCTCAGCCAGTAGCACAAGCCCTGCCACAGCGTTGCCCAATAAGCTGTCTGTAAAATGCATCTGCCGTGGTATTTAGGTTCCGAATTTATCGGGTTTAGGTTTGGAAAAGAAGCTGGGCTGCTGGTGATTGATTTTGCTGGCCTGCCCTGCCGTGGAAAAATACTGGCGCTCTGGGATGACGGTCATGTTTCCAGCCAGGTTGTGTGTGTGTGTTTTTTCCAAGCCAAGTTTTGTTTTGGATCTTTAAAAGCCACTGAGCCAAGTAGTACCTGCACCGGAGCTCACATACATGGTGAATCTTTGTCTTTCTCTTCTGGAGTATTCAGAAACTGAACCGCTAGCGATAGGCTCAAACCTCTGAGTGCCTTGTCCTGGCTACCAGGCAGGCCCTAGGCGAAGGAGGCAAGACTTGTGTGTGTTTTACTTCTTTTCATTGCATGGACTCATGTTGTGACATGGACTAAAGACTTCCTCCCTGGGCCCCTGAGATCTCTCTGCTGCATTCTAAACTTAACCTTCAGCCAGTTTCGGAGGTTGGAGTTGGGGGTGGGCGGACGTGGCACCTGTTGCTGAGTTGCTCTGAGGCTCAGCAGACCTAGATTCAGAGTCCAGCCCCGCTGAGACCAGCTCTGTGACTTCAGGCTACAGAGGTAACTTCTCAGAGCCTCGGGGCCCTGTCTGTGCAGCAGGCTGTCTGCAGACAAAGGGACGTGACAGGCACACATTTACCTGTAGGGCATCTGGCCTTGAGGAAGTTGGGCAGAGTGGCTCTGCTGGGGGGAGAGGGCCTTGCCCAGTAAAAGGTAGCTTTCACTTCTGTTACAATTACATGCTCCGCATCCGCAGCCTACTTCTTAGTGACTGAGTGAGGAGAAAGGAGAAAGAGTACACATTTTTAGCACTCTTATATTAATTGGCAATGTGAACTATTAGGTTTTTTTGTTTTTATTTTATTTTGTTTTTTTGTTTTTTAATATATTTTATTAATTTTTTTTTTTTTTTTATAGAGAGGAAGAGAGGGATAGAGAGTTAGAAACATCGACCAGCTGCCTCCTGCACACCCCCTACTGGGGATGTGCCTGCAACCAAGGTACATGCCCTTGACAGGAATCGAACCTGGGACCTTTTAGTCTACAGGCCGACACTCTGTCCACTGAGCCAAACTGGTTTCGGCTGAAATACTAGTGTTTGGCCCTGTCTTTCTGTTTCCCTTTCTTTCATCATTCTCTCTGATGAAGGAAGAACACCGTTCTGGGTCACATTCTAGCATCTCCTGAGGCAGGAGGCTGTGCTCAGGGAGTTTGTCACTCCTGGTCCAGGGTCCGACTCTCCGCCTCGCTCTGGAACACGATGCTCCGACCTCAGGGGAGGCAGAGTCCATTTGATGCCTGGCCAGTCCACAAATCAGAGGGAACTTTTCATTCTCAGATCCGTGTGTTGCCATGGACCCTGAACTGTAAATAACATTTGGGCAATGCTCTTAAAAAAAAAAAAAAAAAAAAAAAAAAAAAAAGCATGTACTCCCAGTGCTGAACTATCATTCCAAACTCTAGGATTTTTTAGAAAAGCAGGTGCTTCTAGTTCATGGCTGTTTGCTGAGTCTGCTGATTCTGATTTACTAGTAAAGGGGCACTAACTCCAAGTCACAGGCCAAAATAATTACCTGCCAATTCTATACATTGTAAAGAAGGCTGTTTGCTTAAACGGGGCATTCTGTAGGCTGACAGACATGTAACAAAACACACTCGTTCACCCACTGACACCATATTCCCTACAAATTATTACGAAAGTGGCCCTTTCAGTATTGAAGGATCTCAGGTAGGCGATGTCACAGAAGGAAGCAGGGCAGATGGCTGCAGCTCCTTGCTCTGCCTTATTCGTAGACCCCTGCGTGGGGACAGGGCACAGGGAGAGAACCGGTCACTTGCCCAGAGCTCCTGGGTTCTGGAGTCTCTTCCTCATCAGTGTATGTTAATCTTATATTTTAAAACCTTGGGACACCAAACATCATGTTCAAAATTAAATGCACATTCTAAAGCTATATATTTGCACTCTCCTTTGCTGTTTGGGTTTATCTGATCTTTGCACAATTCGCCTACTGTCTTCACCTGACGGTGAAGAAGAGAGAGTTGTCATTTTCCAATCCATGGGCCAAGAATGCAGCAGTCATAAGAATCCAACTCGTGTCTTCTCCTGCTCTCAGCTTTATGACTCAGAAATACCCATGCACTCATTCAGAGGCCTATTCTTGGTCAGTAGGGGAATCCCTGATGACTGATGACTCAAGAGTAAGAGTGTCGGTCTTCGAATGGTTTTCCCATGGTCCACTTCACATCCGCCTGGCCTTTATTGTCAGTCCAGCCAAAGCCCTGCTTTGTTTATCTGACTCTTGGTTGGCTTTGGCTCTGCTCACAAATCCAGCACAGACAATCGCATGTGACAGGTGAAAGCTGCATTAACTTTTAGTATGAACAGCCCTGTGGCTTCAGGTATATACTCTGAAAGTAATTCTGGTGTAATTCAAGTTGTATTTATGTTTTCTACACCTCAAACTTCAAGATTTTTATGTTTTTGATGGTCAGATACTTTTATCATGTACCAGTATTAACTTTGGTAGAGTCATGATGAGTTTCAGCTTTCCATAGTCAAAAATTGAATTATATTAGATCACTTATAGGTATTAGTTCCTGAGGGTCATTAATTCTAAATATGAGCAATTCATAGAAAATCTAAATGTCAGCATCATGAGCCAAAGCATTGGGTTGGTGAGCCTCTTCATCTACTAAACTAGGAAATTTGGATTTTGAACAAAGAATTAGAACAAAAATTGGCCTTGGTGCAATTTGCTCTCTCTGTCTGATTTTACCAGCTAAGCCTTATTCTATAAATCAGAGATGTTTCTGCCAGCAGCTAGTCCACAATGGGAACCTGCTGGCTTCTTTTTATATTCAGTGTGTCTTTTGGTCACTAAGCCATCTATTGTTTATCTTGCACATTAGATCACACCACATCATGTGTTGACAGTGAAGATAAGCCTTAACTTACATGCAACACATTAAATGGATACATCTCGTATCAAGAAAACAACAAAAAACATGGTTTCATGTGGTCCAGTCCTAAATTTTGTCATCTTGCAAGTGAAATTTATACTAGTCACTCCATTTCTGTTCTTCAGGCTTCCTTGTGGCTGTTATTTAAGTTCCCTTGAAGGATAACATAAATACAGAAACGAGCCCAGATTATGTGTCTTGATGTAAACAAATCCGGGTGACCAGCATCCAGATTAAGACACAATATGTTACCAACCTCCCATTAGCTCTCCCTGGTGTTCCTTCCCGTCCATAGCCTGCTTTCCTGCCCGAGGAAAACCACTCTCTTGACTTTTAACTCTGTAGATTGTATTCACTTGTTTTTGAACTTCATAGAAGTGGGAGCTGACAGTATGTAGTCTTTGGTGTCTGACTTATTTTACTCAGTTTTATTTTTGTGAGGTTAATCCAAGATGTTGCATATAGCTGTGGTTCATTTATCCATACTGCTGTGTGGTATTCAATTTTGAAAACATACCTTATTTGTTCTTCTGTTGTTGGACATATGAATGATTTCCAGTGTGGGGGTTACAATAAGTGGTGCATACGGGTTTTCATCTCACTTGTCTGAGTGTCTTTTGGTGAACTTATGGCCGTATGTCTTTAGTATGTACTTAGAATGGAATTGGGTCATATGTGCAGCTTCAGTAGATACTGCCAAATGGTTCCCCAAAGTGTCCTACCCTTTCCAGTTGTCCAGCATTCTCGCTGGCGCTTGACACTGTCTTTTCATTCTAGCCATTGGTGGGCGTATAGTGGTAGTAAAACCTGTTGTTTGATCCTCAGATTTTTAATGTGTGGTTGTTTTCTTTTTTACAAAATAACTTCTGCATTTCCTTCTACTTTTGACAGTCCTTGTAAAAAATTAAATAGCAATTTAAAAACTTCTTTTGCCGAATCTGGTTTGGCTCAGTGGATAGAGCGTCAGCCTGCGGACTGAAGGGTCTTTCCTGGTTTGATTCCGGTCAAGGGCATGTACCTTGATTGCGGGCATATCCCCAGTAGGGGGTGTGCAGAAGGCAGCTGATCGATGATTCTCTCTCATCGATGTTTCTAGCTCTGTCCCTTTCTCTTCCTCTCTGTAAAAAAATCAATAAAATATATTTTTTTAAAAATAAAAATAAAAACTTATTTTAATATGGTTGAAGCAGGAAAATGCCATCATCTCAACTTAATGCTGTGATAATAGAAACAGATAAAATAATTTGTTGCTGATGATAGAAAATAAATCCATAAAATGCTATTGCATACTGATAGGATCCTATCCTACTTGTGAAGTTTATCCAAAGTTCACTTATTGTTGATTACTTTGAAGAAGACAAATAAGAAAAATAAGGAAGGATAATTCACTTATGCATAATCCAGAGTTACCTTCAAAGCTGAAGGGCCAAAAGGCCAATAAAAGAAATGGTCAAAGCTAATACGACTTGCCTTTCTTTACCTCTCTGACTCTTGTCCTTATTATGTGTGCAATGGAAATAAAACACAGAAGACAAATAGCAATCTTGAAACAAAGATACTTCATCTCATTCACCATTTAAGTAAACAGGGGAAATGCATGCATATCAATGAATTGGGCTTACTAATTATGTTTGGAATATTTGTTCACTCATTCTGCAATATTTATGGACTATTTCTATTATGACATACACTGAAATAGTTGTCAGGGACAGAAAACACAAGCTCCTGCTCTCAAGGAGCTTGTAGTTTAAAGAAGAAACAGAAATGTCAATAAACTATAGTTATTATCTTACATAATAAAAGCCTAATATGCTAAGTGAATGGTTGACTGGTCAGCTGTTCGACCAGTCAAAACATAGCTAAGGCTGCTTAACAGCTCGCTATGATGTGCACTGACCACCAGAGGGCAGGCGTTTCAACCAGTGATTTCCAGAGTGATCTGTAGCTAAAGTGGTTATTTTAAACACCAACTGAATAATGTTGTCAGTTTAAATAACTTTTGTGAGAGGAGGTGGCTCTTGATCTGAGTTCTGCCAAACCAACTGTACTGTGAGTCATCTGTACTTTCTCCAGGCCCAGAGCGTGCTGGGACAGCTGGTAGCCTGGCTTCTCAGCGCTCTTGTTCTTGCTCTCCAGGTCACCAAGAACGAGCGTCAGGTCATGAAGCCTCTCTACGACAGATACCGGCTGGTCAAACAGATCCTGTCCCGAGCCAACACCGTGCCCATCATGGTGAGTCCACCCACCATGGTGTGGGTGACCTGGTTGGACAGGCCCTGGCTAATCGGAGGGCCCTAGCCTGCCTATTAAAGAATAGGCTTTAAGGGTTGAACGTGCCATTCATATCAGTGGCCTGTAAGCTTGAGAAATGAAGAATTTGTCAAAGACTTCTGAGACTACATTGGTAAAAAAGTAAAAAATTAGAAAAAAAAGAGCAAACCTGAAGATGATAGATTTTTTTTCCTTTTGAGAGTCATGATTTGGCCAGGAATATCCCCACAACATGTGCTGGGCCAACACCCCCCCACACACACACACACCCTACCCGAGACTGAGCACCAGGGGGACAGGGCTGTGCTTTCTCAGGCCGCTCCGCACCCGAGTGCCTCTGGTCCCAGGGCCGTCTGTGAACAGCCTGCTCTGCTCTCTCAGAGGATACCGGGCTCCTGCCCAGGAGAAGTCTGCTGAGGAACTCCGCACAGCGGCCTTCTCTCTGAGGACTCCCTCGTGAAGAAGTGTGAGGCGGGAAGGGGGCGAGGCCAGTGACTGCATGTGCTCTCAGACGCCACTATCCGTGGACTTGGCCGCTTTGGGCTCTGAGTTTTGGTTTTGTCTGGAGCGGGAGCAGCAGCTCTGGGAGAGCCTTTCGGACTGGCCAGCCCCCCACCCCCCCACCCCGCAGTCTGGGCTTTCCCCCTCCCCCTCTGAGTGCCCCGTGAACCCATGTCCCCCTCCTGGGGACTCGGTTGCCTCTGTTTCAGTTGCCTCTGTCCAGGCACCTGAAGGCTTCCTCTGCCGTCTTCTGGGCTTTTGAATAAGCAGACACCGCCTCCTGGTGTGGAAATGCATAATCCCCAGCCGCTGTGCTCCCATTCCTGCCGCAGCCTCCAGGCCCCCGCTGGGGTCTTCGTGCCTTTTCACAGGGCACCTGCTCCCGGGAGTGAGGGCGGGGCCAGAGGCTGGTGTGTTTACCGGAAGCGCCTTTTCTAGCAATGTCCTGCAGAATGATTTACTAGCTCACCAACCCAGGGATCAAATCTAAGGAACCGGTTTCATTCTTCAGTTAGGAACCCTCAGTGTCTGAACAGGGTGAGTGGGCAGTGGGGATGGCAGAGGACCTTTGTATCACGTCAGGAGCTGACGCTATTCTAGGTGAAGCTGCTAAGTGCAGGTGGGATGGGGAGGGACGGGGGGGGGGGGGGGAGGCAGGGGGGTGGTCTGCTCAGGTTTCCTCTGAGCCTTTGGTTAAGGTACTTGAGTGCTGTTCTTGCTCTCTTGGGAGCTCCTGTGTTGGGGGGGGGGGGGGGGGGGGGAGCCTCTGGAGTGAAGAAGCAACTTGGAAAGAATGTTGGTTGTTGCTGGGTTTCCGGGGGATTTTTGGTGGGAAGGAGTTAGAGCACATCATTTAAAGGCAGCAATGATGTTCTCCAATTCCATCCAGGTCACTGCAAATGATACGGATTCCTTCTTTTTTATGGCAGCATAGTATTCCATTGTGTAGATGTACCATAGTTTTTTGATCCAATCATCATGCATATAAGTATAACCAATGGACACAAAACTCTGGGGAGGGAGGGCATGTATGGGAGTGGGGGGGGGGAGCAATGGTAAGATTTGTACACCTATAATAATTTAATTAAAAAAAAAAAAAAGGCAGCAATGAATCCTGGTGAGGCAGAGGAGGTGGAGAGCTGGCGGGAAAGGGAAGGGGTTCGCAATGTAACCTCCTTGTCAACGCCTGTCGCAGGGTTCCCCTTCCAGCAAGCGGAGGAGCCCTTTGCTGCAGCCAATCATCGAGGGCGAAACTGCTTTCTTCTTCAAGGAGTCAAAGGTGAGGACCTCCAACTGCTAACCTCCTGCCAAACCCGCCTCTGCTCCCTCCCTGTCTCCTGCGAATGAATGGAAGGGGTTGTGGTTGGGCCTCTGGTGATGGGTTCCGGTGGCATTCCCTCAGCATCTGCACAGAGCCCACTTGGAGCAATCCTTTTCTCCTTTGTATCCTGTAATAGCCGATTTCCTTAGTTTCATTTCATTCCCCCACTTTTTATTGATGTTTTGTTTGTTGTTGTGTTTTCAGGGATGATGCTTTCGTTTGCACGTTGTTTTTTTATTTTGGGTTTTCCCCCTACTTGGAGAATAGTTTTTCTATATTTCAAAATCGTATTACGTTAGCTCGGTGCATAACTTTCTTTAAAATCTCATTTACTGAGTTTATAGAAAAAACAAAATTAGCGAAGACAGTATGTGTAGCACACAATAAAAAAATGAGCATTTTATAGGCGAATATCACAGTTGCCGATGGCAGATTCGCTGGTTCAGTTCCACCCACTCTTTCTCCCTCTCCCCTCTCCCCCGGCACACTGTGTCCTCGGGCCTAATTTTATAATCTCTCCCTAATCAGGGAATGTCGTGCTGGGGCCAGCAGTCGCTAGGACATATGTTCAGATTTTCTTCCCCAGTAATTATGGATTTGGACAAATAATCCTTGTTCTCAGGGGCTCCCTTTGAGGAATGGGAGGTCCCATCTGTGCTGAGACCGGTGTCCCTGTAAGGACCTCAGTGGCCCGCATCCGGATCAGCCTCTTGCATGTCCTTGTTTCTAGATAAGTGAACACACCGGGTGGCCTTATATAGGGATCTAGAGATGAAAAGTCAATGCCAACCTTTTTCTTTTTTTTAATCAGTGAATGTTAAAGTTGGAAGGGGAAATAAAACCCAAAGCAGAAGTGAGTTTTAAGTGTTTCACTTGTCCTGTTTCTATCAAAGTTCCCAGCCCGGGGTGGTCATGTATTTACTGTCCTTAGGA